GTTGTTTTAGAGCAAGTGTCTCCCTCTCCTGCTCTGCTGCCCAGCCTGAATTAGTCAAAGCTGGGTCAGCACGGGGCCTCACACAGGGTACCCTGATCTCTCTACTCAGCCTTAATCAAGACTAGGCGGCAAGAAACTATGGTTCCTCCATTAGTCCTGAGGCAGTGTACCCCACAGTGCCCAGGCTGGTGACTGAAGCTGAATTAGTTGGGCCAAGTGATAATAAAAGACATCCCCAAATCCAAGTCTGCACATCACAGTGCACACTCTGTGCAGGTGACAAGGATAAAGCTGCCAGTGTCTGGACAGAGAAGAACTGGGAATCCGGTTCTCAACCAGTTTCTCCAGGACTGGGTCTAACACAGAAGCAAATCAAATCACGTGGCAGGTGGGGGTGCTGGAGATCACCCGGGAGAGACCGCACACACCCCGTTGTTGTTCATGGGCAGCACATGTGGGACTCTCCCTGAGTCAGTGGTGTGTGTGCAGCATGTGGTCCCCTGCAGGGAGCAAACACCAGTTGTGGGCCATGACTAGGAATCTGTGGAAGGAGACCCTGGGAAGGTTAGGGGCACCACATACTCCCCTGACATCCAGCACTGAGCCCATTGGCCTCCTGTGCTGGGCAGAGCTCCTACTTGTGTGGGAAGTACTGCCATTCCTGTGGCACAGAGGCCCCTCTTCCTTCTCTACTCTACTCTACTCTCCCCCACTCCAGTCACCGGAGGCTTTGTAGCAATGGCCAAGAATCATTCATTAAAGACTGTTGCCATGTGGCCCAGCCCTCTACAATAAGGAGGGAAGTGGAGTCAGGATTCTTGCAGTGAGAGGAGAGTGGGGCACCAGGGGCCGGGGGTGGTGGGACAGCACTGAAGGGTGTTTGAGGGTGGGCTTTGTTTCGAGCCCATCTGTGTGGTAATCTGCGCTTATGGAATGTTGGGCCCTGTATTTCCACAGTGACACATGCTTCCTCCTTGGGAAGTGGATGGAAGCACTTTGAAAGGGATGTCTCTACATCTGACTCATTCTTTTTCTCATTATCCTTCCATGTGAGCTGTTTAAGGCAGATAACATGTAGATCTTCAGTTCACATGCAGAGGACATGCATTTCAGGAATCAAGTTTGGGTCTTATTTGAGCATGGGCAAGTGTCCCCACCACATCTGTCCACAGGGTTCTCATCTCTCATTGCCCAGCGTGGCTGTAGCAGCAGCCGCCAGTGTGATACCCCAGTGGGTCTGCATCGACTCAGAGTAGACACTCTCGTCCCATCCCGCATCTGTCCTCCCTGAATCTGTGGATGCTCCTGGGCATGTCAGCCTGGTATTCAATTCCATCCTTCTCTCTTAGGACATCATTTTCTCAAAATGTTATATATCTGTCATCCTGATACCATTTTGCCCACCTAAAATGCTGTTCTGCTCCTTATTTTAATTTGCCCACATTTTAATACCATGAGGACAAATTAAATGTTTCATTTTAAGATTTATCATGAAATATTTCCTATTTTCCACCCATGGAAAGTCCTAATGGAAGGACTGAAGTCCTAATGCTTCCTGAAGTCACAGTTTGCCTGTGATATTCTCCTATATTTCAGTCTTAAATTATATTAATTAATAATATTAAATAGTTTTTAAAGGTCAGCTGCCTTCGCTCTGTAGGTTTCAGCATTTCCATATAGTTTATTTATAATTCTAATAATTTTCTAATATCCTGTATTAGGAATAATTAATTTAATCATAATTAATTTATTGACCACCTACTATTTTTCATTTAATCATCTTAGTGCAAAGATGAGCAAAACATGCAGTCTCCCTCCCCACCCAGTGTACAGAGAGAGTGTTACAGAATATAAATAGTCACGTGTATAGAATGTGAGGTGGGCTCATATTCTACAGTTAAAAATAAAGGAAAGAATGGGCTTGAGGTTCTCGGGGGCACCTTGTTGCAATTTACCATTGAGAAATCAAGAAAGCCTCAGGGACAAAGTGAAAAGTTAGCTAAAATCCCAAGAGCTGGGGGAGGAAGCCAGGCATACCTCTGGGTAAAATGCAGATGGCCTGATGTGGGATCACCTTGGCCCAGGCCACAGTTAGGAGGAAGCCAGTATGGGTAAAATGCAGATGGCCTGATGTG